CTTCCTTAATTCTGGAAGAAGCGAGCACCAAGTCGGATGTTATTTCAGCGCGAGTTGCATTGCACATGTTTACCCGGTTCATGTTGGGATCTTCTTCATTGAGTACACACATTCGTTCGTTTGCTCGAAAATCGCTCGTCAGAATCTGCGACCTCTCTCAGGGTCAAATACACCGGGGAAATCACGATGGAAACAAAATAGCAGCGTTAAGTAATTGAGAAAATTTTCCGTGAGAGCGTCGAGCCTTTTAGCCCTCTTACTGCCTTCTTCCCTTTTTCGCCTCGATAGGATTATGTAGACATTGTCGCGAGAATATTTTGCTATCTTCTTATTCTCACTTTTTCCTTCCCTTCTTTTTATTGAAAAACAATTCTTTTTCGCCCGAAAAAGTTGCAACGATTTATGGATTTTTATCGCACTAATAAATTATATCAAGATGTTGTGTACACAGATAGTCCAGTAAAATTAAACTTTGACTTCATAAAAATTAGGAACTGAATTTTTGTGGAGACCTTTATTTCAATGTTCTAATGAAATCCTGAAAAGTCCCCTTACTTTCATTCAGGGTGTTTTTTTATGGAGGGTAAAAGAGGATAAATTTTAGTTTCTTGGCATTATCTCAAAAACTATCAATTTTGGGAGAAAAATAGATATTATCAAAATTGTAGCTCATAAAATTCCCTACAAAAAAGGTTATTATACTTTTTTTCGTGGAATTAACCGTTTCGAAGATAAAGAGCGAAAAAAACGCGCTCAGTATTCTATCCCCGCGGTGGTGTGAAAAGGAGTATTTTTTACCTCTATTAAGCTAGCAAGATCAAATCGGCAGAATTAATCGGGACATATAAGAATATTTAGTACCTAATTTGTACTAATTTGTACCACAAAAAAATGTGTACTCCGTCCCGTTTCGAAAAACACAGTGGCGCTGCTACCTTCAAATAAGCTAGCAGGATCATAATAAAAAAAAAGATAAAATAAAAATCAATAACAGAAATAGAAAGTACTGAATTTGTATTAATTTGTACCATAGAAAAAAATTGAATATTTTCATTTATTCTACAAAAAACAACCCCTAATTGATTTCAGCTATATGAAGCTCAAGAGTAAAGTACTTTTTCTTATTAGCAGAATTAATCGTAACTTGTACATGCGACGTGGCATAATATGTACCCTCAAAATATGAAGTTTCAGATTTTGTACCCCCGTTTTTCCTTTAAAAACTACCCCCAATTCTTATCAGTCTCAAGAGAAAAGTACCCTTTCCTATTAGCAGAATCAATCGCTGCTTGTAGATGCGACGTAGCATAATATGTACCCTCAAAATATGAAGTTTCAGAGTTGATAGAGGTGTATTTTTTGCAAACTACAAACATTGCAACTCTACTGTTTTACTCAAAAACGATTAGTTGTACGAAAAAAAGTATAACAACCTTTTTTGTAGAGAATTTTATAAGCTACAATTTTGATAATAACAATTTTTCTCGAAAAATTGATAGTTTTCGAAATAATGGCAAAAAACTAAAATTTATCCCCATAAAAAGCCCTAGATGAAGTTAAGGGTACTTTTCAGGATTTCATTAGAACATCGAAGTAAAGATCTCCACAAAAATTCAGCTTGATCGTAATTTTTATGAAGTTTTGCCTTTTTCAAGTCTAATTTTACTAAGATATTTTTGCAGATATTTTTACACACACATATGCTTGAAATATCCTAGACGGATAAAGTTGTTGGCTCTGGAGATTCGCGGTTTATCCGCATGTATGTATGTGTTCGAACAGATATATAAATGCGTTTAAATTCCCAGCGGAGCGAAAGCACAGAATCTTATCCTCTTTCTTTTCTCCTTTTTTCTTCGCGAAACAGCTGCATCTAACTCTTGCAACAAAATTGCACGGAGTTTTCGAAAAAGAAATTAATGCGCTGTAACCCGATACAATTAACAGAGATTGCAATGAAGATAGCTTGCTTGCTTAAAGTCATCTATAACAAGAGTTATTATAATCGAGCAAAATGTTTGACAATTGTTTATACGTATTGAACGGCAGTTTAATTATGAGAGTTTAATTATGCGCGATAATGCGAAAATTTTCACATAATATATTATATAATATAATATAATAATATATAATATATAATATAAATAATGCATTTTAGAATCGCGCATATAATGTAATGCTTCTGGTAGCAAAATCACGTCCTTTTGACGTTTAACGACGTCAATTTGACATTATAAAATCATTTACAGAAGTGCATACTTGTACAATCTAATTTTTTATACAATTTTTAATTAACGAAATCTCTAAATAAGAAATTTTCAATAACGTTATTTTATTATATGAGGCGTGATTGAAAATTTGTTGTGATTATTTATAATCTAATTTTTGCTACAATTTTTAATTAATAAAATCTATAAATAATTACAAAATGTTTTAAATTTCTATTAAACAATCAGAACAAAATAAAAAAATTTGTGATTATTTCGTAGAGATTTCGCTGATTAAAAACTGTATAAAAATTGTATAAAAATTAGATTGTGAATTTAAAAAAATTCTTTTGCACGCAAAATTGATTGAAGAAAATATGGTAGACGTGAGAGAAGGAGATCTTTCTGGTGAATATTTTCTCCGCGAAGTTTCGCTCTTCCAGACTAGACTGAAATGGGAAGCTGAGCTTAATTACTCGTTCGTTCTTCATTATCTATTAACGATTCTTTGAAACCCTCGGTCGTCATCGCAAGATACCTTTATGCCGTCTCAAGTCGTCGGAAGACAATTAAATTAATCGAGAGAAGTGGGAAAATGGTCTGTGCGTGATCTGTGATCATTTAACTTAGGAGTGCTAAATTATTCAGAGCGCTTAATCGATTAACTTGGTGTGTTTGAACCAACTTCTGTATCTTCTAATTGTAAATAAATCAAACGCAATATATTACGCCAGATATATTTTTCAGCATTTTGAAACGCGAAACCCACATAGAGTTTGAATATTTCAGAAAGACTTTCTACAAAATGTTTCCCGAAAGTTTCTAGAAAGGAGGGACTTATAGGGACTTAAAAATTTGAAGGACTTATAAATAATAAAGAGAAATTTAATATTAAATAGAGAGAGAAAGAAAGAGAGATCGAGTATCTTAAAAAAAAAATAAAATAATTCTCAAAAATATTTTTAAATGTTTCTATGTCTGCTTTTTCATGTTTGAAAAATATCTTTGAATATACATAGATTTAAACTAATATTTCAAAAATATGTATCAAATATTTAAGAAAATATTATCTGAGCGATGAAGAGGAATATTTTTCAAAGTTTCTAAAAATATTCTGAAAAATGTTATCACAAAAAATTTGTAAATTATTTGAAAATATTTCTAAATAAAAAATATTCCTAAAACAAATTTCAAAAGTTTGACTTTTTGTTTGGAAAAATATTTAAATATTCTAAACTCCGACAATTTCTGAACCGTCTACATTTCTGTTGAAAATACAAGGATTTTTTGTCGCGCTCTCTCTGCGTATTCTGTCACTCACTCAACTTTAAGCTGCGGTTAGATTAATTAGCTTTGGGAATTAACCAGTCCATCTCATTGCGCGTAGAATAATTAATTGTGCTCGATATATTAGTCGCAAATGAGTCGGAGCGTTCCGACGCATCATTAATAATTAATTGATAATAGTCCAAGTTTAGAGAGAGAGAGAGAGTGTCAAGGCTTCGTTGGAAGCGATATCCTTCGCAAGGACGTGAGAGGATTAATGGCAAACAGTTTTCGACGCGACAATAATTACTTGTGTTTATACCGTTTTACGTCGATCACTCTCCGTAGTAAAACTCAGTCGCCATCGAATCATTGCCGCACGTCTGTCATGACGTCTGTTGCGAAGCCTTAGATTAACGCAAGATAATTAAATGCGCAAATTGCATCTATCATGGGAAGGTAGCCCATTGACTTCTCCGTTCTTCCTCGGTGTTTGATATTCACGTACAGTTAATAACGGATAAAAATAAAAATGAAAACGAGATCAAGGAATATAGGCAGACTCGATGAAAAAAATCCCTCACTTTTTCAGACCTTCCAAGACCAGAAATTCATTTTTTCCCTATGACTTTTTAGTATTAGTTTTTTCCAAATATATCATTTGCATCGCATATACAGCACAAAATATTATGTTTTCAAAAAATATTTCTAAATATTTGTATAAAATATTGCATAGAAATATTTTTTAGAATATTTTTACAAACTTTTAAAAATATTTTGAAAAATGTTCTTCTTTATCGTTCAGATAATATTTTCTTAAATATTTGATACATATTTTTGAAATATTAGTTTAAATCTATTTTCAAAAATATTTTGAAAATGTTTTTCAAACATGAAAAACAGGACATAGAAACCTTTAAAAATATTTTCGAGAATTATTTCATCTTTTAAGAAATATTTTTAAAAGATTTTAATTTTAATTAATTTTTTCCCTCATTTTTTAGTATTATTTTTTCCAAATATTCAATTATATAATTTGCATCCAATACAAAATATTATCGTTCAGTTTTCAAAAAATATTTCTAAATATTTCTATAAAATATTGCATACAAATATTTTAAAATGGCTTTAGGAATATTTTCAAATAATTTACAAATTGTTTGTGATAACATTTTTTACAATATTTTTAAAAACTTTTAACGTCCATAACTTAAAATAAATAAATAATACAAAAAATAACGGTATTCAGAGATAAAAAAAATTTAACTTAGAAAAAAAGTTAATAAGTTTAAGATGAAAAATAACTATAATTGAAGTTAAAAATTGAACATTTGAAATTAACCAGGCTAAGTTAAAGTTACTAACTTTTTAACTTTTAACTAATTAACTAGTTATTTCCCAACTCTGGTCACTCGAGTTTATCCTATTCCTGGATACAAACGCACTCACACAAGTAGTCTAATATAATTAAGCTCGCAGGCAAATCTTATTTAAATTCAAATGTAACGGAATGCAGTGCAAACTCACCGGCTACTCGTAGATGCTTCCCACCGAGGGTAGAGGCGTCCGTCGTCAGCAGGGATAACGGCGTCGACGAGCTGTCCAGAACTTCGACGCGCGATAAATCGACGCCGCGACGTTCGCATGCCGGACCCAGGACATCCCTGTAACACGTACAGTGTTGTGCTTAGATGATTTTAAAATTAGCTAGATAAAGATGGGACGAAAATATGTAAATTTATCTTAAATAAGATAAAGATGATTTTGTTTTAAATACATCTAGATAAAAGATGAAATTATATGGCAATTCTTCTAGATAATTTTCTAGAGAATAATTTTTAAGACAATAGATAATAGATAATAGATAGTATAGATAATAGATATTAAGATAATAGATATTTTCTAGATAATAATTTTTGCTTATGTAAACACAGTTATAAAAGATTCTTCTAGATAATTTTCTAGAGAATAATTTTTAAGACAATAGATAATAGATATTTTAATAGATAGTATAGATAATAGATATTTTCTAGATAATAATTTTTGTTTATGTAAACACAGTTATAAAAGATAAAGATAATTTTGTTTGAAATATATCTAGATAAAAGATGAAATTATACGGCAACTCATCCAAATAATTTTCTAGATAATGATTTTTAAGACTGCTTATATAAATACAGTTATAAAAAATGTAAATTATAAAAAGGATATAAAAATATATGTATTCATATTCTTATTTATAAATTTTTATCGCTTACTGCTTAAGTTTTACCATTTAAGTATTTTTATGCGCTCTAATTCTAAATCAAAATTAGCTAGATAAAGATGAGATAAAATATGTAAATTCGTCTTAGATAAGATGAAGATAATTTTGTTTGAAATATATTTAGATAAAAGATAAAATTATATGGCGACTTATCCAGATAATTCTCTAAATAATGATTTTTAAGACTGCTTATATAAACACAGTTATAAAAAAATTGTAAATTATAAAAAGGATATAAATAAAATATATGCATTCATATTTTTATTTATAAATTTTTATCACTTAAGTTTTACTATTTAAGTATTTTTATGTGCTATAATTTTAAATGAAAATTATCTAGATATTTGTATAATTTTATTTAGATAATCATCTATATAATTTTATTTAAATTATCCATCTATATAATTTTATTTAGATAACAGCAAACACTGAATATAGCGGAATAAACTATTAACGCGTCGTGAATCGACGAACCAATTAAAAGTTTGAAAAACTATGAATATTTTTTTTCTCAAAATTGCTTCGCCGCCAGGATTAACCACGACACGACCGTGAGAAAATTTGTAAACAGGCTCTCGAGGTTTATCCTCTCGTATATAAAATAAATTTTATTTTATTCTTTTTAATCGATCGACCTACGATATTTTTTTTACATTGATTTGCATGTTTAAAATTTTTTAATAGAATCCAATGCAATGTGTTTTTATTATATCGAACAAAGTCACAATTGCGTGGCACGATTTGCCTCTTTTCGCGATGAAAAGCTGTCGAACAAAACGCTTTTGAAATTTATTTTGCAAAATAATCAAAGTGACATTAAAGCAGAAATACTTTACCGAGGAACTGAATTATACGAAAATGACAAATATTGTATTTAACACAACAATACGCGAATTATCAGATTCATAACTTCTACAAAAAAAAACAGAAAATGATCAAAGTAATATTAATAAACCAAACAGATATTGCCTAATGAGGAAATCAGAAGCATCCCTTCGTCCTAAAGGATAAAACTTGATATCCCTAATTTCCTTTTTTAGAAAATTGCCAAATTATACGAAATTACTGCCATGTGTTCCTCGTGATGATGTAAATCGCCGAAATCTTACTATTTTTTCTGTAGATTTGCCCTCACTAATTATTTATATAATTAAGTTAATTTTCATAAATAGACAATTACATAAGAGATGGTATAAACAATTTGAATTCGATAAATCATTTATGTAATCTGGACTCGTGTTTTTAATTGTTAATTATTCGCACAATTTAATTTGCAAGCTGATTGAAAATTAAAAATTCAATTGTGTATGTATGTATTGCGTGTAAATATTGATTGTGCGAAGTTTTATATTTAAATTTATTTATATCTAAATTATTGTTATAATATAACTTACTATAAAAGTATATAAAATACTAATAAATAATTAAAATAATTACAAAGTACTAATAAATATTATTAATTTATTTAAAAATAGTCTATTTTTTTACGTTGATAAAATAATTTTAGGGAAAAAGTAATACGCTATAGAATTATGCATTATATCTAAAAATACTAATAAATAATTATTAAAATAATTATAAAATACTAATAAATATTGTCAATTTATCTAAAAATGGTCTATTTTTACGTTGATAAAATAATTTTAGGGAAAAAGCAATACGATATAATTATGTATTATATCTGTAAAATTTAAACTCCATAGTTTCCTGGATGTTTCATGCTGGTTTTCCAGTAGTCTATTTCGAAGTGAGAGGAAAGGAAGAGGATGAGTGTCTAATGAAATAAGGGTGTAAGGTTGAAACGCAAAATATTCTCCCCAGAAAGCGTAATACTACAAACCCTGACGGAGCAGAAATTCCGTCGTCGGAATTCGGAGGAGAAATAAATTAATTATTCATCCACGCGCTCGCGTTTTATTCTATATATTCCCTTATATTATTCATTCCTCTTTATTCTATTCTGATATCTTCACATTAATGATAACTAGAACAAAAGCTTAAGGGAATCCTAAACGTCCTTGAGTCTGCTGGTTTTTTTCCTGTTTTATCGACAAAATGTGAGGTTAGATAAACTATAAATCTATTTATTGGCTACATGGATTATTTTTACCTGAAATTAAAGCGCTTCGTCCTTTGTTAATATTAATACTTTAATTTGTACAGAAAAAAGATTTATTAATCTGCATAGTTTCATATATCTTGATTACAGAATTATGAATACTTGAATTGAGAAGTCTGCTGGTTTTTTTCCTGTTTTATCGACAAAATGTGAGGTTAGATAAACTATAAATCTATTTATTGGCTACATGGATTGTTTTTACCTGAAATTAAAGCGCTTCGTCCTTTGTTAATATTAATACTTTAATTTGTACGGGAAAAAGATTTATTAATCTGTATAGTCTTATATATCTTGATTACAGAATTATGAATTTATAATTCTTATAATAATGTAATCAAAATATATATATGAGACTATACAGATTAATAAATTTTTTCCCGTACAAATTAAAGTATTAATATTAACAAAGAGCAAAGCGCTCTAATTTCAGGTAAAAAACAATCCGTATAGCTAATAAATAGATTTATAGTTTACCTAACCTGCTCACAATTTATCGATAAAACAGGAAAAAAACAAGAGATTTCTCAAGGAAGTCTAGGATCCCTTTAACATTCAAACAATTCGCGTTTTTTCTTTTCTCATCGAAATATAATATACTTGTGAGAAATTTTCTATGCGTGAAATAAATTTCTCGTAAATATATATACACTTGTATTAATTTGTCGAGCTTAAAGTTTCAACGTCTGCTCGCTGTTAAGTAATAAATTTCACGCAGCAAGAAATATGAAATAAAAAGACTGGATATAAAAAAAACGTACATCATCCATGATTCAAGGTTAGATAAAAAATTCGTGTTACAATTAAAATCACGAAACGAGTCGAGTCCAATGTCAAAAATCGACGCACGTGGCTCGTTCAAAAAAGTATGTAAAAATCGTATCTCGCGTTCGGCGGTCCAGTTTCACTCGGCATAATTTTTTTTATTCCACATTTTTTTGGTATAGGCTCTGTAGTTTTTGTTTCAACCAGATAGAATGACACTCGTATAGCTCTGTAAATGTCGTTTTTTTAAATCTTTAAAGAATTTCAAGTACTTTTTTCAACGAGTAACATGAACTTGGTATAGAATTTTATGACGTCGAAAGATCGATATTGCGAATAAGTAAAACTACAGAATATTTTCTTCGTTAATATTCAATTCATAAATCATATATTTGCATAATAAAATTGACACATCAAATCGATGTGTTAATTTTAATGCTGACTTTTCGAATAAGTTATTTTATGTTGGAAAACAGACGATAAGGATTATTTAAATTCAGAGTGTATGCTAAAATTTGAAAATGAAATTTAAGCAGGACATTTCCAAAAGATTTCAAGGAAATTTTCCAATAGTATGATAAAGTTGTACAAAGAACCGGAAACTATTTTTTTCAAGCCAAGATATAAATTGTTAGCAAAAATTAATATATGCATTACAAATATTCGATACAATATTTTCCTATATTATAATTGAACGCTTAAATCTATAAATAATTTATGCGTAACACATAATTTTGAACTCTGCAAATAGAAAATATTGTATCATTTACGAAGTAAGGTAAAATATTTTTTTACTCGAATAGTTTGAGTTGATTCTTTTAGCTGAATGTTTAAAAGCGACGAAAAATTGAAGGATCTACGAAAAATTCAAATGCATTCCCAGAAATTTTAAAGGATAAACAAAATTCCGGGACATTTCAAGAATTTTAAAGATTTCAAGAATTTCAAGGCTAGACACCCTGAAATTGAAAGCAATGAGAATTGAAAATTGTTTCTAATGCACTGTAAAAAAATATATAAAATTACATAAATAATGAATGTAATTTTACATATTTTTATGTAATATATTATATATTTTTTTACAGTTTGCTGTTATCTAAATAAAATTATATAGATGATCATTTAGATAAGACTTTGGCGTCATCTTATCTTTATATAGATAATCAAAATATGTATTATCTATATCTGTATCTTAGATAAAAAAAAGGTGTTATCTTTACTAAATTATCTCGAATAATTTTCAGGAAATTTTCATTTAGAATCATAGCACATAAAAATACTTTAAGCGATAAAAATTTATAAATAAAAATATGAAAACATACTTTTATATCCCTTTTACAATTTACATTTTTTTATAACTGCTGTTTACACAAGCAGTTTTAAAAATTATTATCTAGATAAATCGCCATATAATTTTCTCTTTTATTTAGATATATTTCAAAGAAAATCATCTTCACATATCTTTTTCTAAGATAAATTTACATATTTCCACCTTTTTATCCAGCTAATTTTAAAATCATATAAGCACACTCCTTCGTACTCTATTACGTAATATCCACCCATTTATTATCCCTCTACATATGTAGTGAATGCATCTTCGTAATGTTAAGAGTCATTCGATTTTACTCCTTTATCAGCCGATATTTTCTCCTTTTGTTGTCGTGGCATCCATTGCCCGAGCAGGACTCTCTTTGCACCCGTTCATGTTTATTGAACATATCTGGCCGCATTAAATTGCTATAAATCACTGGCTGATGCGACAGCCACCCAGGTGGGCATTGATGCTCGTGTGTGTGTGTGTGTGTGTGTGTGTGTGTGTGTGTGTGTGTGAGCACGTTCTAAATTGCGGTGTGCATTTCAAAGCAAATGACGCAGCGATATTCGGCGTTAATGTACATTGTTTGAGGCTCAACTTTCAGAGGTATGCTGCGAAAATGGAAAAAAAAGATTTTTACACGATTTACGTTTCATGAATATACAAGGTGTCCCATTTTAATGTCCCACCCCAAATAAGTTTTTTTATTTTTGATTGTAGAAAAAAATGTTTCAGACAAAAATTGTATGATTTCAAGGAGAACATAAGGTGGTGCCATTAATTTGACCTTGAATAGTTGCTTGAAGGTCACGTAAAGGTTACCTTGAGGTGAGGAGATCTTGTCTTATAATTCAAAAAGTAGTTGAAATAAAAATGTTTCATTATAGTGTTTTGGAAAGCTCTCGAAGTCAGCTACAAGAATATGTAATGAAAAGTAGATGGTTCCATTTAAGAAATTAAAGGTGATCTTCACATGATCCTCAAGCAGCTATTCAAGGTCAAATTAATGGCACCTTATGTCCTCCTCGAAATCATACAATTTTTGTCTGAAACATTTTTTTCTACAATCAAAAATAAAAACTTATTTGGGGTGGGGCATTAAAATGGGACACCCTGTATATTCGACTGCTTTTTATCTCAAATAAGTAATTGGCATGTATATATTTAACTAAATATAGTCCACCTTAAATATTTTAATTGCAGCCAATGCTTAGATGATTTTAAAATTAGCTAGATAAAGATAAAAATATGTAAATCCATCTTAGATAAAATAAAAACGATTGTTTTAAATACATCTAGATAAAAAATGAAATTATATGCACTGAAAAAACCTTTCAACAACATATTATTATTTGGTTAATTAAACATATGAAAATATATTTAAATTAAATATAAATTAAATATAAAATTATTTAAAATTATAGATTATAAATTAAAATTATTATTTAAAATTATAAATTATTTAAAATTAGCTAGATAAAGATGAAAATATGTAAATCTATTTTAGATAAAATAAAAATAATTGTTTTAAATACATCTAGATAAAAGATAAAATTATATGCACTGAAAAAAAATTTGTTAATTCGACTAAACCTTTCAACTAAATATTATTTTGTTAATTAAACATATGAAAATATATTTAAATTAAATATAAATTAAATATAATAAATATTGAATCTAACAAAACGTACATTTTGACTTAAATATTAATATAAAAAATTAATATAAAAAATTTGTTACGAGAGCGGTAAAAAAAACAAAACGATCCGAGTAACTCTAGACAAAAAAAGATTTCGCGCTGATAAAGAACGGCGTTTTTCAAGCAAACCGCGTATCTTGTGACCGCTATTCCAGGGTTCGTAAAATGGAAATTTTTTTGTCAGGAAACCGACATGACAAAAGCAAAGTGCGCTTTATTCAATTCTTGGTTCGCCGCATAATTATGCTTGGCAATTAAGAGTAATCTCGTTGAAGATGTAAGGCGTCTTCGCGCACACTATAACAATTTATAATAGTATATTGTTTCTCGTGATATACTATGTTAATTTTTTAATTTCGCCCTTACATTGAATAAAGATGAATTAATGCGAGGTAGGTAATCGCGAGCAAACCTTATTGAAAATAAAAATAATACCGTGAAATTATTATTACAAGTATAACACATCGTGAAAATCAAGAAATTGAAACGAAAAAAGATAAAAGCATGATAGAAAAATCTTTAAAAATTTCTCTCTCATATGGAAACAAGAAAAAAAATTATGTGTAATAATTAGAGACATTTTTATAATAATTAGAGAGTCATATTTTTATAATGTTTATATATTTTGTTTATCTTGTTTCCTTGTTATAAAAGAGACATAATTAATAATTTTTTATACTTGTAATAATTCTGTGCACTATCATATTTTTAGAACGTCAATTAAGATATTTTAGAATGTGTGCATTCAATTTGTATGCACTGAAAAAAGTTATTTAATTATTCAAATTAATATTTATTTTAATAATTTCTCTTTTATACATCATTTATTTGAAATTAATAAAAAAATACTTATTTGCTATAAGAAAAAATTTAATATATAATATAATTCTTTAAAAAAAAAAAAAAGTTTCGGTCTTATTGTTATTTCCAAGAAACACAAGTTTTTTAAATAAATATTTAATTCCTTAATAATCTCTTAATAGTTTTTCGAATATGAAAATTTTAGTGATTAGCGAATGGCTGTTCTTTTCCGTCGGAAAATTTTACCCGCTAATTCATTACTTAAAAAGAAAAATCGCGAAAAAGTTCAAAGTGCTTGTGAAACATTAACTATGGATCTATGTTATCACACGATACCTATACGCACACGCTGCAAAATGGCATCCACCCTTTCCTTATTAAAAAACTTTCTCATAGCGAATAAAGCTAGTCTCGCAAATTAGTATAAAATGGACCTCGTGTATCAATAATAATCCTTTTTTCCGGCTGAAAAATGTTCTGGTAAAAAATCACGCATCGCGTTTAATGACGTTCATGATGATGATTAAAACAATTGTGACAAAGATCTTTCAATTAGCCGCATCAAGATAAATTAGATTCTTTCTTGATTATGGGACGAGAATTTTCCGGCGCGTGGCACGTAATTTTATTCCATATTTTCTGACATAATAAGGGTTTATTGTATTTATGCCACGTGACAAACGTGGCGACGGCTTTAATCTATTTATTCTCGCCCGCAAATCCTACATCGAAGCTGTTGCGATATATATATATTTATATATATATATATATATATATATATATATATATATATCAGTGCACCCTGTAGAGCGTGGACAATAGCATGGAAAAAAAGCCGACCTCCTGGTGATCTTGAAAATAAAAGTGCCTCTTTTCTACCTTCCGCTCCTTTCTTTAACCATTTATTAAAATGCCGGATCATCTTGAAGATCGATAAAAGAGGAAAAAGCATAGCCTTCTTTCTTGCGAATGAATTTAAAGAATAGATGTAACGCCATGTGTCGGCATATTTTTGTACTTGTTTATAGAAAAAAAAAATTAATCAATATTTTTTACAGTTTAACAAAGAATGCTATATCTGAAAAATATTAGCTATTATAATAGCCCAGTAAAATTTGATTTCATAACAATTAGGAACAAGCTGAATTTTTGTGGAGACCTTTATTTCGATGTTCTAATAAAATCCTGAAAAGTACCCTTAATTTCGTCCAAGACTTTTTTTATGGGAGGTAAGAAGGGGCAAATTTTAGTTTTTTTGCCACTATCTTGAAAACTATCAATTTTTCGAGAAAAATAGTTATTATCAAAATTGTAGCTCATAAAATTCCCTACAAAAAAGGTCTGTATACTTTTTTCGTACAATTAACCATTTCGAAGATATAGAGCAAAAACAAACCCGCGATGATGTGGAAAGGAATACGTATTTTTTACGAACTACAGATATTGCAACTTTACCGTTTTACTCAAAATCGATTAGTGGTACGAAAAAAAGTATAATGACCTTTTTTGTAGGGAATTTTATGAGCTACAATTTTGATAATAACTATTTTTCTCGAAAAATTGATAGTTTTCGAGATAGTAGCAAAAAACAAATTTACCCCCCATAAAAAACACCTTGGATAAAATTAAGTACTTTTTATGATTTCATTATAGAATAACATTGAAATAAAGGTTTCCACAAAAATTTAGCTTGCTCCTAATTTTTATGAAGTCTTGTCCTTTTCAAGTTTAATTTTACTAGACTATAGCTAAAATTTAATTATATAATAACCAATTTTTATTTTTCGTGGTTCCCTAATGCTAAATATTATATGGCATATATTTCAAACCAATTTCTGCTATTTGGATGAAAATGTTTTTCTTTTAAGAAAATAATATGTCAGAAAACAATTATGTTTCTGTGTGTGCGATAAAAATCAATTTTGAGTTCAGTTAACGAATAATGTAATTATTTCTGTATTTTTCGACGGAGATTTAATAAAGTTATACATTCTTATATTTAATTTGAAAAATAGCGGAGAAATTAAATAATTTTAATAATTATCACACACACATTGAAAGAAAATGTTTATTTTGCAACGACAAAAATATCGATATCGAATATTTTAAAACCGATTTTTTATTCACCTAAAAATCTAATTGTAAAATAACGATGTTACGCGGATAATATGAATTTCTGGTTTCAGTAGAGAGCTTCATAAGTCATGTATGATTGAATGTAGCAGTTGTGTGTGAGAAAAGTCAGTTTACGAAACATATTGTTCAGACATATACATCTCTTTATGTAAATATGTCTATCTTTAGCACGCGTCGTATTTTTTATTCAACACAAAATGCGAGAAATTTATTGGCGGCACAGATGCGCAATATATTAAAAAGTATTATATGATAATGCTTCACTCACACCAGGTAAGTTCCCCTCGTAGCTGGTAAAAATTCCTCGCGTTCGAAGGAACCGGGGATGTCTTCGCCCTCAAAACTGACACTGAAGTATTCGTTGCTGGACACCTGGAATCAAAATGAAAATATGATTAGTTCTCTATAAAAAATCTTGAATATTTCGTAATTGAAAATCCGAGAAAAAATTGTCGGGTTGAGATATTAATTTTTTTTAAATATATAATTATTATAAAAAAAAAAATTATGCATTTTGGATTTATGTTATATAAATATTTTGCATTTACATTTTTAAAAATATTTAAAAAATAATTTTCTAAATATTTTTAAAATATTTCAAAATCTATATTGAATTTTTATTTATCATTAATCTAATAAAGTTTGATAGATGTAAATATGCGATAAATTTATTTTAATATAACTGTTTGTTGTACATTCTTTAATATGCTAAATTGAACCATGAATATAAGAAAATCTGGAGACTTATTATTAATTTTTAAAAAATCAATGTAGTGCATGATTTTTTTATCGATGAAACTGTTAAATTTATTGTATGCGCTATGTAAATATATTAAATTTTTAATTATTGTTGAAATTAATTATTTCAAGTACTCTGTGTTCATTAAAAAAAGAACACTTTAATTGATTTTACTATATTTATATAAAGTTTAAATTTTTTTATAGTTCTGGCGTAATGAGTTGAATCTAACCATAGCAGCGATTTAAATTGAAATTTAATGCCTGTATTTGAATTGAGTATCTTGATTAAATATGAAACTTGGAATGTTTCCAGGTATTAAATTTAATGGAAAAAGCCAAATATATACAGTGTCTCTATTACCATAATTGCTTATATATATGTACAATCAAGTTCGATTCTATGTATTTCAGGAAAATATAAAGCCATAAACATTTACAAAAATGTCATTTAACCATTAAAAGAAGAAAAAAAGTCATGCATTATTTTGGATATGCGTTACATCAATATTTTGCATTTTAATATTTTAAAAATCTTTAAATATTTTTAAAATATTTATAAAAATCTTTAAAATATTTTAAACTATTTAAAAAATCTTTAAATATTTTTAAATATTTAAAAAATCTTTAAATATTTTTAAACTATTTAAAAAATCTTTAAAATATTTTTAAACTATTTAAAAAATCTTTAAAATATTTTTAAACTATTTAAAAAATCTTTAAAATATTTTTAAACTATTTAAAAAAATTTCAAATATTTTAAAACTATTTAAAAAATAATCAAAATAAAAATGTAATCATTCATGTTTTGTGTATGATCTTCGGCGTCTCAGGAAGAGCTTAAAGAATTGGCCGGAGTTTTCCTCATTAGAAAGAAGTGCGATTACTTTGTAGTTCTCGTACCCAGATTCAATATTGCTGCCACGTTCGCCCATTCGACTCGATTTTTTTCCCCTCATAAATAATGCAGGAACGGCGTTCTCATAAATTCGAGTCACCTGGTAGGCTGGTGAATCGGTCCGCGGAATTAAATATTAAAGTGCGGCATATGGAAGCAATCGTTGCGTTGTTGCCTCTCCGACGCGCGAGTAGCAAAAAGAACGTCTGTCATCACCACACATTAATTCACTTTGCTGCTTAGCATAAGCAAAACAAGTCGAGAGAAACGAGGGAAAATTCAATCGCGAGTGAACAAAAATTCACATACCGGGATAATATTTGAACAAGTTTGCAAAGATTATGAAAGCTTGTCTATGTGTGTTTCTATCAGCGTTGTGCTTAGATGATTTTAAAATTAGTCAGATAAAGATGAGATGAAAATATGTAGATTCATCTTAAATAAGATGAAGATAATTTTATTTAAATATATAACTAGACAAAAGATAAAAAAGATTAATTATATCTAGATAAAAGATAAAATATTTAGATTTATCTAGATAACTTCGAGATAATATTATTTTTAAAACCGTTTATGTGAACAGTTATAAAAAAATGTAAATTATAAAAGGGATATAAAAATATATGTATTCATATTTTTATTTCTAAATTTTTATCGCAAGTTCTACTATTTAAATATTTTTATGTGTTATGATTCTAAAATTATCTGAAAATTATTCTGGATAATTTAGTAAAAATACTTTTTTTCGCGTAAGATGCAGATATAGATAATACATAATTTTATTATCTATATAAAGGTAAGATGCCAAAATTTCATCTAGATGATCATCTACCCATACGGCAGAAAATATTTTTAAAAATATTTCTTAAAAGATCAAATAATTCTCGAAAATATTTTTAAAATATTTCTATGTCCGCTTTTTCATGTTTAACAAATATTTTCAGAAATATTTAAGAAAATAATATCTGAGCGATAAAAAACATCTTCCAAATTTTTAAAAATATTCTAAAAAATGTTATATAAATGTACAAAATTTTTTTTCATTATTTTAAAATATCCCTAAAACTATTTTAAAATATTTTTATGCAATATTTTATAAAAATATTTAGAAATATTTTTTGAAAACATTCATAATATTTTATATGGGTATACATATAATTTTATTTGGAGAACAGCAAAACACTGGTCTCTTTTATATCTCTCTAAATAATAAAACGTTCGCTTTTCCCAAACATCGAATCAGTTGTATAATTTACACGCAAGATTGTATACATCGCACGTATATAGAGGTAAAAGACGGTCTCGTTATCGATTTTTATTTCGCAACAGAACCCCCGAGGAATTCGAAAAGAGTCTGTAACTATACGGTTACACAATTACAACAAGCGCGAACTTTCTAAGACGGGATACAACAAAACGAAATAGGAGTTCGTCAACTCTTTCTTCGTCTCCGTAAATTTGGGTATATGTATTTTGTCTATATTGCAAACTTTTCCTTTATCCATTACAAAGGCTTAGAAAGTGTGTTTCACGCAACGTAGATATATTATATTATACCCACGCATTGAACCAAGGTTATTGTTAAACTTGGTAATTATACAAATGTCAACGGTTCGCGAAACGGTTTAATACATATATAACACGGTTTTAAACAAATATTGCAATAATTATCATGAATATTTCGCGATAGCGAAATGCAACAAGAGAGACGGTTTACACTGCAGCATTGCAATTATTTGGTAGACTTAATTATTTTTTTTATTATTTTGAGAATATACACGAGAAAAATTATTCAATTAATAAATATTTATTTCGATACCATGCCTAATCATTTATTTTGAAACGAATAAATATTTATCTGTTTTGAAAAAGATTTTATTATATCAAATACTTTTTGTTTCAAATAAGTGATTTATTAGGTACAATATTGAAATAAATATTTTTCCGAATTCAATAAATTATTTTTTTGCAGTGCATATTTTATAATATATTACTTTACACGACATTTTTACTTATAAATTCTTCACAAACCTTTTCTTGAGTCCCCAAAGAAATATTTAGGATATTAAAAAAAATTAATTAAAAATTCTATCATTAATTCCGAACACACAAAATCATAAATAGACTTTTGTTTCTTTTTTATATTACAATCAACGTAATAATCATTTATTTTGAAACAAATAAATATTTATCTGTTTTGAAAAAGATTTTATTATCTTAAATAAATATTTTTCCGAATTCAATAAATTATTTTTTTGCAGTGCAGATTTTATAATATATTACTTTACGTGACATTTTTACTTATAAATTCTTCACAAACCTTTTTTGAGGCCCCAAAGAAATATTTAGAACTTAAAAAAAAATTAATTAAAAATTCCATCATTAATTCCGAACACACAAAATCATAAATAGACTTTTGTTTCTTTTTTTATATAAACAATCAACATACCACACGTTTCAATGAACATAGAAGTTCGCTCGTTTCCATTAATATATAATTCACGTAGATCGAAACCGCGTTACATCATTAAAATTCAATAATTTCCGAATTCGGAATATCAGTATTCCACGTTTATATATAATATCAATTCGGAATAGCCTACGGCAACAGCCCTCGGAGACGTGTTACGTAATTCACCAACCTTCCCAAAGTAAGGATAAATACTTGGGAAGTTCGTGACAATGATACTAACGTGCGTGCGGACGCTTAATGAAAATTCCTTTGCTTCCTGTAAGAGGCAGGCACCGTAATATTATCGTTTATCATTCCTTATAACGATTTACTTCGTAGTGATTTTTCACCCCGACATTCCCGCTTCGAATTGTCATATATTTCCAATTTAATTCCGTAGAGAATTGTATTTTTGAAAGAATTTATTGAATTCGCAAAAAATATTTATTTCAATACTATCTAATAAATTATTTATTTGAAACTAAAAAATATTTATTTGATATAATAAAATCTTTTTCAAAACAGATAAATATTTATTTGTTTCAAAATAAATAAATATTACGTTGACTGTTATATAAAAAAAAAAAGAAACAAAAGTCTATTTACGATTTTATGTGCTCGAAATTTTATATATATATATATATATATATATATATATATATAATGATAGAATTTTTAATTAATTCTCTTATTATATTCAAGTTTTTTAAAATTACAAATAGGATAAAGTATGTATATAATTTTTATAATTTAAAAATTATATTTACATTACACATTTAGGAAAAATGATGTAATAATTTTTGTCAGCTTTTGTTGTACTTGACAATTAATGATTCGTTGTTTTTCTCTGCAGACTGAAAAAAATGACTAAATTAATAAATATTTATTTGTTTTGAAAAGGATTTTCTTATATCAAGTAAATGATTCCTTTGGTAGTATTGAAATAAATACTTATTCAAATTCAACAGATTTTTTCTCAGTGCACAAATGCATAATTGCATCAATTTAATTTGTATATATAATCTACACTAAATAATTGACTTGAGAGCAATCCTACCATTTATTTTCAGAAACTTCTTTCTGACGAATTTCGCTTTTATCTTCTTCCCGCTTTAAATTGTTATATATTTCCAATTTAATTCCGTAGAGAATTTTATTTTTGAATTATCTTATTATATTCGAATTTTTTAAAATTACAAATAGGATAAAATGTGTATAGTTTTTATAATTTAAAAATTATATTTACATTACACATTTAGAAAAGATTCGTTGTTTTTTTATATT